TCAACCCAAATTTATAGATTCCACACAAGGGGAGCCAAAGAATATTTGAAGGTATTAGCAGTTGAGTTGTCAATTCAACCACACCTGGAGATTAATTATCTGCAGCAAAGTGATCAGTAGCAAAGCAGTTTGACAGTTTTGATAGTAGTGACAGTAACAACGGTAACAGTAACAGTGATAGCAGTAATTTTGTAGCAAGTGTAACAGTAACGATAGCAGTAGTAACTTAGCAGAAACAATGTGGAAAAGTTCGTAGGCATTGGATCGGTGACTTGTTGGAAGATATTCATCATGTGACAGTTATAACCTAGGGCAATCAGCACTAGCTCCAGTTCATCGATATAATGTAGGCATGTATTTCGTAAATAGTCATACGTGTTTTATTACAAGAACTTGCATGACATCTTTTGTCCTACCCTCCCATGGCAGCGGGGTCCATATTGGAAACTAAGGGATATTAAGGCCTCCTTTTAATAGAGAACCGGAACAAAGCATTAACACATAGTGAATACATGAACTCCTCAAACTACGGTCATCACCGAGAGTGGGCCCGGTTGTTGTCACTCCGGGGTTGTCAGATCATAACCATAGTAGGTGACTATAACTTGCAAGATCGGATCTAAAACATGGATATAATGATGAATTCATAAATGGTTCAGATCTGAGTTCATGGCACCCGGGCCCAAAGTGACAAGCATTAAGCATGGCAAAGTCATAGCAACATCAATCTAAGAACATAGTGGATACTAGGGATCGGGCCCTAACAAAACTAACTCAATTACATGATGAATCTCATCCAACTCTTCACCGACCAGCGAGCCTACGAAGGAATTACTCACTCCCGGTGGGGAGCATCATGGAATTGGTGATGGAGATGGGTTGGTGACGACGAAGAACGAAGATCCCCCTCTCCAGAGTCCCAAACGGACTCCAGATCTGCCCTCCCGAGGAAGAACAGGGCTTGGCGGCGGCTCCGTCTCGTGGATCGTGATAATTCTTTCTCCCTCATCTTTTCTAGATTAATGTGAATTTATAGTATCAGCGGGGTCATCAGCGGGGCCACCAGGTGGGTACAACCCACCTGGGCGCGCCAGGAGAGGGGGGCGCGCCCTGGTGGGTTGTGCCCAACTAGGGGCCCCTCTCTGGCGGTTGTTGGCTCCAAAAATCCTTATTTATTCCACAAAAAATCATCGCAAAAATTTCGTTCCATTCCGAGAACTTCTATTTCTGCACAAAAACAACACCATGGTAGTTCTGCTGAAAACAACGTCAGTCCGGGGTTAGTTTCATCCAAATCATGCAAATTAGAGTCCAAAACAAGAGGAAAACGTGAGAAAAAGTAGATACGTTGGAGACGATCACGGTGTTGTCGATGTTGAACCGTTCCTAATTAGTCGAAACACCTTAGGAAACGGAAAAACCGCGAACTCAAAATCTCAAACGTCAAATGTCAAAATGGTGGTAGCGGAAAAGCGGTGGTGGTTGCGGAAGTATTGGCGGAAACCCGGTCAAAATGGGTTAAGGTGGTGGAAGTGTATGATGGGCTATACACGGTGTCGGAGTTGAAGCAATGGTCCCTAAGTAGCCTAAACACCTTAGGAGACACAAACCACAACTCAAACAAGCTCAAACCAAATTGGGTTATGTTGGGGTGGCGAAAGTGTATGGTGGGTAAGCCTATGCGGAAGTTATTGTGGTGGTTGATGAAGAAGTGACCGTCTCTAAGTAGCCGAAACACCTTAGGAGACTCGAATCACAACTCAAACAACCTCAAATTCTAAGGGGAATAAAATGGGTTAGGTTGCGGAAGTCGGTGGTGGTTATGCGATGATATGGTGGAATCCCTAGGCAAAGATGCCAAAGTGCCAAAAAATGGAGTCAAATGGTGATGGAACCTATCTAGAGGGATAGAGGATGTCAATAGCTACTCAACGAGCTAAAGAACGCGAAAATCGGACTCCGTATGAATTAATTATGGACAAAACAGTGAAATGGGGAAGGCTGAAATCCCAGGGGTCGGACATCCGGGGTCGGGCGCCGGATGTCCGGGGGCTGATGTCCAAAACTGTGCAGATTTTGTGCTCTAGGAGCCGAAGGTCTAGCTTGGGACCCGGATGTCCGGCCCGATGGCCTGAATGTCCGACCTGAGGCCCAGATGTCCGGCCCGACGATTCCAGATCGGGATTTGGACTTCAAAACTCGATTTGAGGCGGAAATTGATGATTTCGGGGGCAAAATTGATGAGATTTCGTGGATGGAAAGCGGGGAAACTTGGGGATATGCTAGATCCACTTGAAACCAAGCAAATCCATGGATCAAAATCAACAAAATTTCATCACACCAACAAATCACAAAAAAGTTTGGGGCTATTTTTGTGGGGATTTTCGAATTTGGGGAAGAATACAACAAAATCAAGCTAGAAAAAGAGGGGTAGGGGCTCCAAATACGTGATCAACGTGGCTCATGATACCAAGATGATGCAGGGTAGAACCCTAGACGCCCGATCTTTCACGATTGGAGGGGATCCTACGAAGAACACGAGGGGAAACGCGAGGGAAATCACGAGGGAAAACAAGAGGAAACACTCAAATAGACAAGAAGCGATCACATATGTGCTAGATCCTCGAAACACAAAGAGATACACGATCTAAATCCAACAAAGGACGATACATAGGGTAACCGGTTCTTCTCCATGAGGAGGTCTTGAATCCACGAGGGGATCTTCCCGTGAGGGGTCTTGAATCCAAGGTGGATCTTCTCCATAGAGGCCGCGGTCTCTCTCATGGAGTAGATCCGTATGGATGAGAAAAGCTCTATCTCTAAATGAGCTAATCCTTTGCTAACCCTAACTAGGAGGAGGAGGGGGTCTATATATAGTCTAAGCCACGAAGGGGTAAGTGAGAAAGAGGGATACATGGGCCTCTGGCCCGACTCTACGCGCAGGCAGGCGCCAGATGTCCAGCCGTGCGAGAGGCCGGATGTCCGGGCTGAAGTGGCAGTTCGAGTCCTTCTCTGGATAGGGGATACCGGATTTTCAGGAGGGATGCCGGATGTCCGGGCGTTGCTGAGGCGCCGGATGTCTGGGCACACGGGCCGGATGTCTGACCGTTGATGCTTCGGTCCTCTGTTGGTGCAGCTCCTTGGAGGCTGCACAGGCGCCGGATGTCCGGCCTTTGGCCCGGATGTCTGCCCGCTGTAGCTTCCAGCAGCTCCGTTTCTTCCGTCGTCGCTTCCAGGCTTCCCTCGCGGATGGTGTAGTTGTTCCTTGGCGCTTGCACTCCTCCACAACATCCATGAAGCTCCGGTAAAACCTATGCATGCACACGGGAGAAGTGCCAAGTAGTATACCATCCTTGAAGGGGTCAAATGAGCACGTGTAAAAGGAGATGATTCATCTTTGTATATGTGAAGTAGATGTCACACGTGTCTTGACATGATGATGTCCATAGAATGCTGCGCATCAAGTTTTGTTCTATATCAGACTGGCCCTGAACATTCTCTAACCAATTCTCCCTTTGGGTCTTTGTTTTGATCAGCATCTTATTAAAGGACGTGACAGAAAATCTCCCACGACGGTCAGCTCCCATGCCCAGAAATCTTCCACCTCCGTTGGGCCATGGCCGGCGCGGCTCCCGGTGGCTTGGCGGGGGAGCTCCTAACCGGCGCCTTCAGCGCCGGTTGGAGTTTCTGGCGCCCACGCGGGTCCTTGTATGGGCCAGGCCCACGAACATGCAGGTAGTAGCGCCAAAAAGAAAACGCAGAAAATATGAAACTCCCAAAAAAGCTGCTCCAACAGGATTCGATCTCGCGCCGTTTAGTTACAATGCAGCGTGCCTAACCAGTACATCTATTACAACCTAGTAATTCATTACAGCGCGAGAAATTTAACAACAACACTAACCGCACTATTTCTGGTACAAAACAATTTAGGAAGACGTGATTTTTTGGAAAAGAAAAAAAATCTGAAATAAGTTTTAAAAAAATCGCGAATTAGAAAAAAGTTCATGTATTCAAAAACTTTCACCAAATTTTATAAAAGATCACCGTGTATTACATAAAATTTCATTGTATTAAGAAAAATGTTCATTGTATATTATGAAAATTGTTCACCTTTGCATATAAAAATGTTCGTCGTGTATCATAAAAATGTTCATCGTATATTATGAAAATTTTCAACGTTCTTACTAAAAGTTGAATGCGTATTCAAAAATTGTTCGACACATATATTCATATTGTTTCAAAAAGGTTCATCGTGTATTATTTAAAATGTTCAATGGATATAAAAAATGTTCAGGATACAATTGTTCACTATTTTCTTAATTTTGTTCAGTATATATTACACAATGTTCAATGTGTATTCGCAAATTGTTCAACATATTTTCACAAAATGTTCAGTACGTGTCTGAAAATTCTATGTATGGTGAACAATATTCAAATACACATAGAACAGTTTTTTAAATACGATGAACTCCTTTTGAATGCATGTTGAACAAAATTTCTATACATGATGAACATTTTTTATACGCACTGAACATTTTTCAAAATTCATCAAATTTGACAATAGTTCATCAATTTTGAAAAATGTTCATCAATTTTGAAATAAAGTTCATTGATATGTAATAAAGTTACAAAATTGAAAAAAATCTCGCGCTTAGCAGAAAACAAGAAAGAAAGAAAAAGAAAAGAAAAACAGAAAAAAAACTCTTTCCACGAAAACAGAAAATAGAAAAAGGTTAAAAGCCTGTCAGTTAACCCGAACTGGTAGGTTAGCCGAGTGGTTTGGCAAGCGCGCCTGCAGTCGTGAGATCCCTGGTTCGAAACATGGTTCTCGCTAGAAAGTAGTTTTTTGCGTTTTCAAAAACAGGAAAAAGAAGTGGGCCGGCCCAGTGCGGCGGGAGGGTGTGCGCCCGATTGCATCTATGCCTAAAATGGGCGCTTAAGGCGCCGTTTAGGGAATGCCGCTTGGCGGTCGGTAGTTTTCTTTCTAACACAAGGACAAAATGACTAGCCCGAGAGAAGGCCCAACATATTATCTTGGCCCATGCAGCTCTTCACTGACTAAACCCCAACGCCTCCGAGGTATAAAATCGCCCACCCCTCGCAATCACCTGCCTACGCCGCCGCCGCTCCTCCCCGATCCCGCCGCCGCCGCCGTCGCCGCCGCGCCCTCACCAGGCACCACCGCAAGCATGGCTGCCGTCCTCACCCGCCCGACGCCGGGCACGGTCCAGTGCTTCGGGCGCAAGAAGACGGCGGTGGCCGTCGCGTACACCAAGCCAGGGCGCGGGCTCATCAAGGTGAACGGCGCCCCCATCGAGCTGATCCGCCCGGAGATGCTCCGCCTCAAGGCCTTCGAGCCCATCATGCTCGCCGGCCGCTCCCGCTTCAAGGACATCGACATGAGGATCCGCGTCCGTGGCGGCGGGAAGACCTCCCAGATCTACGCCATCCGTCAGGCCGTCGCCAAGGCGCTCGTCGCCTACTACCAGAAGTATGTCGACGAGGCCGCCAAGAAGGAGGTCAAGGACATCTTCGCCCGCTACGACCGTACCCTCCTCGTCGCCGACCCCCGTCGCTGCGAGCCCAAGAAGTTCGGTGGTCGCGGCGCCCGCGCGAGGTTCCAGAAGTCTTACCGTTGATTGGCCTGCAGGATCGTCTGTCTATTGGGTGGTTTTCTCTGCTTTACCTCCCCAGTTTTAGACTCCGTATGATTAGTTCCGGACCTTGGCAAGATATTGTGGTATGATGTGCTGTCAGATGTTTTAAGACTACTACTGGGTAGTTGCTCGATTATGTTTTTTACTTGTTACCTATGTTGAGGAATTTTGATATGGTTGCGTACTTGCACTGTATTTTATGCTATGTCCGGTTTTATGCTAAATGATGTTGTCTGATGACTGATGTTGTGTTTAAGTTAGCCGGATGAGTTGAATGGTGCAAATACAATCACTTTGATCTTCTAGGAAATGTCCATGTTGCTCTTTATTCTTTGCATCTTCCGTTGAGTCTTCAGTATAATTTATATAAGAGTATTATAAGACTGATTTGCTTAGGATGATACGGTTGATTTCTGTGCTTTACCTCACAAATTCTAGAATGTTGATGCTTTGTTCCGGCTCGTGTCTAGACACCATGATATGAATGTGACGTGAGATGTTTGAGGATATCGGGTAGTTGCTGGAATACGACTTTGCTTGATACCCAATTTGAGGAATTTTGATATCATTACCTTGTATTGATGCTATGTTTCCAGTTTCATTAGATTGTTGCAAATAAATATCATTTTGATCAACTATGAATTGCCCATTTTGCTCTTGTTCAGCACATCTTTGGTTAGGAGTGATCTGTCTGGGCATGTTGTGCGAACTGGTATTCAACTATATCAGCACTCGGCTGTTGCATATTGTGTGTATATTGATGATGTCAAGTAGAAAACTAGCAAATGATGCTTGTTATCATCTATAGCAAAAGCACAAGTATAATAGGTTGTAAATAACGTTTAGTTCATCTTCCTGTTTCGTTTAACTAGCCTATAAGTAGAAGTTTTGATTGATGGAAACATAGTGTAGCTCCTTGCATACATGTCTTAGTATCTGCCTATAGGAAAAACATGGTAACTGATTTTAGCAGAATAAGTTTAATCCTAAATCAAACACATATCACCGTGTTGCTAGTTCTATGCTATGTCTGTGATTTCTAAATTAAGTTACCTAGATAGAGCATTTCATCATTTGGTTAGTTTTTAAAATTGGTACTATAGTTTAGAATGTTCGTAAACAGTAGAAAAATCCACATCTGAAATGGTGCTCAGCAACACAGTGCAATAATGCTGCCATTCCTGACTATCTGCTACCAGTCTATTTGGTATGCTTGCATTCTACTGCTGTGTTGAGGTTCAGTTTGAAACAAGTGTTGCAATTTCTTGGGCTATTCTGTTCTTTTGACCTGTGTCATTGCTTCAAATTTCTATTGTAGTTTTGGTTTGTGACCTCACTGCAACATTGTAGCATTGGCTATGCTTCTCCTGTGTCATCTGCTGCGTGTTTGAACTGTGTTATATGTGATGTTACAAGGATTTTGCACTGGGATACAGAATCCATTCCTGCTGTTTCTGAAATCACCTGGTGAAGAGCAGCAGTTTTGTGAGGTTCTTCTCACGTTACCTGTCCCAATTCTTATTTCATTTTGAGTGTGCCTTAGTTTTTGGAACTGAGGTTCTTCTCACGTTAACTGATGTGAATCGTGGGAGATGTAATGCAGTGGAGACGATGTATTTTGCAACCTTGCTGCATTTTGTGCGCTGGATACCTAGCACCAGGTAGAGATTTGTTGAGCCAATAGCGTGGGCTCCCAGCTTGCAGGCAATGCTTTGTTCGGACAGCTCTGTGTTTTAAGACCCATGAGCACCGTTTTGCTTCAGACCTGCGAACCTAGTTTTGCTTAAGACCTGCTGACGTGGTTAGACTGTTGTGGAACGCATGCAATGGTTAGTACTTCCTCCATTCCTAAATATTTGTCTTTGTAGAGATTTCAACAAATGACTACATACGGAGCAAAATGCGTGAATCTACATTTTAAAATATGTCTATATACATCCATATGTGGTAGTCCATTTGAAATCTCTAAAAAGACAAATATTTAGGAAGGGAGGGAGTACGGTACAATTCTTGACATTTGGGACTTTTTTTTTTTGAAACGGTGGCAAAAGTTTTGCCTCGTCTCATTAATAAAGACATTTGGGACATTGTTGTGCATGCTGATTGTGAACTATTGAAGCTTTCTTGTAAATATTGGCTTTTGAAATATGAATGTACTCCCTCTGTCTCAAAATGTAGTGTCTAAAAACGTCTTACATTTTGAGATAGAGGGATAATCTTTGTTGTGATTTTTCTGGGACCTAAAGAAAAAGTCCTTGAACAAAAGAAACCCGAACACTTGGCAATCTGCACCATTGCCATGAATGTAGTAGAAATGTGGCATTTAGACAGCTGGGAATTCGATAGGGCCAATTTGAGAGGCTATGGGTCAACCCGTATAAAGAAATGTCCGACCCATTTAAAGAATAGTCAGTGGCCTCGTTGGCTCAGTATTTTGCGTTGATCCAAATTCTTGCTTTACATTGCCTTGTGAATAAACACGATGTTAAAATTTTTCTCAAAAGAAAAACATGATGTTAAAATTAGGCACGGTTTAATGGAATCCAACTAGTGTAAAAATTAAAATTTCTAATACGTGGTTAGTGTGGTTTTGTACGTGCGCATCTTGCCGAAACATATCAACAAAATTTTGTTGTTCATACTAGTGTTCGCCAGATATGGGACGGATATGGCCCACCCGATCCATATGTGGAACGGATATGGGACGCCTGGACGCGTCCGCCACGTCAAATCCGACCAACTATGGCCCACCCGACCCCACATATATTCATCCATATCCACTCTCCACACCAAACCCTAACCAGTCAACTCCACTCCACTCCCTTCTGTTCCATATATCTTTTTTGGCGAACTCTGGCCTACTCCAGCATGGCGGGCAGACTCTGAGAGGTGCGGATCCGTCGACTGGGAGCTTGTCACCTGCGGCCCCAAGGAGGAGATGGTTGTATGCACTACTCTTTGATGCTCCCGGGAGGAGTGCTCCCCCTCGATGTTGGAATCGATCCGACGGGAATCCATTGCCTCCGCACAAATGGCGATACGATCCGCAGGACCGGTGGCTCAATGCGCGTGACCGCGGCCTTGCCAGAAGATGTGCCCACCGCATGGCGTGGCAACCCCGCTCTGCCGACGGAGCCGTTTAGGTGATGCCTCATCCCCACGACGTCGACCACCGAGATAGAGGCCATAGCAGCCACCATGGTTTATGGCCAAACTGTTTAGGAGGCGCAGCGGGCAGTGGACGCGGGATGATGCAACAACCCTTGAGGTGGAGGCTGCTTTGGCTGCGCACAAGGCAGGGCCGACGAAATCGCACGATGGCATGGGCAGGGACAAGTAAGCCGTCCTTGCCAGCATAGCCGAGAAGCGGCAAAGGAGGGCGATTCGTGCCATGGGAAGAGAGCAAAGCAAGGCGGTTTGTGCCATGGATGGTCTGCCCCGCCATGAGGAGAAGGATGGGGACAACGACGGATCAGATAGCTCCGACAGTGAGTAGACTCGCCTCGATCCGTTTTGCGTCTTCGACCAGTACTCCCGCAAGGAAGACGACAAGGGCAAGGGAGACCGTGGATGAACTTCTTCCATCGTCGTTTCATTCGTAGTTAGTAAAACATGTCAATTTTTGGTAGTCCTTTTTTTGCATGATAATACGTGTCTCATTTATATAGAATAAAGATCAAGTTACAAGGCACGTAAGCACCGACCATACATAACTGAAAAGATAGGAAAATCCTATGCAGAATACCAGCGCTTGCCCCTTTCCTTCGACACCACCGAAGCGGCCACCAAAGGATAAAAAGACAGATCACCTCTTCACCCAAGCTCGATGCGGCTCCATCGCTGATCAGCAGCTTTACGGACCTCAAAAGTAGTTTGCTAGAAGCAAAACCATACTCATTGAAAGAATTAGACCGGGGCAACAATGAAGGAAATATGCCCTAGAGGCAATAATAAAGTTATTATTTATTTCCTTATTTTATGATAAATGTTTATTTCATGCTAGAATTATATTAATTGGAAACATAATACATGTGTGAATACATAGACAAATATAGTGTCACTAGTATGCCTCTATTTGACTAGCTCGTTGAATCAAAGATGGTTAAGTTTCCTAGCCATAGGCATGAGTTGTCATTTGATTAACGGGATCACATCATTAGAGAATGATGTGATTGACTTGACCCATTCCGTTAGCTTAGCACTTGATCGTTTAGTATGTTGCTATTGCTTTCTTCATGACTTATACATGTTCCTATGACTATGAGATTATGCAACTCCCGTTTACCGGAGGAACACTTTGTGTGCTACCAAACGTCACAACGTAACTGGGTGATTATAAAGGTGCTCTACAGGTGTCTCCGAAGGTACTTGTTGAGTTGCCGTATTTCAAGATTAGATTTGTCACTTTGATTGTCGGAAAGGTATCTCTGGGCCCTCTCGGTAATGCACATCACTATAAGTCTTGCAAGCAATGTGACTAATGAGTTAGTTACAGAATGATGCATTACATAACGAGTAAAGAGACTTGCCGGTAACGAGATTGAACTAGGTATTGAGATACCGACGACCGAATCTCGGGCAAGTAACATACCGATGACAAAGGGAACAACGTATGTAGTTATAGGTTTGACCGATAAAGATCTTCATAGAATATGTGGGAACCAATATGAGCATCCAGGTTCCGATATTGGTTATTGACCGGAGACGTGTCTCGGTCATGTCTACATAGTTCTCGAACCCGTAGGGTCCGCATGCTTAAAGATCGGTGACGATTTATATTATGAGTTATGTGTTTTGATGTACCGAAGATAGTTCGGAGTCCCGGATGAGATCGGGGACATGACGAGGAGTCTCGAAATGGTCGAGACGTAAAGATCGATATATTGGACGACTATATTCGGACATCGAAAAGGTTTCGAGTGATTCGAATATTTATTGGAGTACCAGAGAGTTACGAGAATTCGCCGGGGAGAAGTTATGGG